GGTCGCAAAGGTTATCGAATACCCAAGAGAGGAGTGATACAAGCGGTATATATGTTCTTTTTCTATTTTTAATTTCGTTTTTTATGTTTACTTTATACCTTTTGATAACTTTGCTTTTATTTTGAACAGGTTTTTAAAATGCTGAGAACTTATTTTGCTTTAGACTTTGTTCAATCCGCAAGGAACCGTCGTATGTCTTTTTGTTGTACGTTTTGATGTTACCGAAATGCTTCCATCTTGTCAAACTTTTTTGCGTCAGAGGCAGTTTTTTATGCCTCCGGAATGTCCATACGACCAGATTAACCGTTCATGGCTCAAATACCTTATACATCTTAGGTATGTGAATATACTTTATTTTTGTCTGCGTAAGTGAGATTTGGTAAAATTAGTATGACATATCTGGACGTGTAGCAGGAGCTATTTTATGAGTCAGTCAGAATAGTAGTTTTTTGCTTCTCTTTTGTCTAATACCGCTCGTAAAATCTCTTACCCTATTCTCTTTGTTATTTTTCACCGTTCACTGACGGGTAACAAGGAAGTCTTTGTAAAATTCTTCACTTTATCTGAGCCTCTTATCCTCTCAGGCTCGCAACAGATCGTAAGTGTAATTTATTCATACACAACGATATTCGCATATTATTCTCACAAAAAAGTAATCTGGACGGTTTGAACGTTGAGTTAGAGGAGCGCGAGGAATGTTTCCAGTTACGTGCTTTTACAGAAATGCCACAAAGACCTCGTTTTTCTCCCCGGAAATAACCACTTGATTGGCGTTTGTGTCCTCATAATCCGTTCAACATCTACTTTTTTTCCGATCTTTCTAAGCACACTGCAGGTTATTGTATCTTTTATTCTCTTGAAATCCGCAGAAATTGTTTAGTAACACTACTTTTGATATTCCATCTTAACTTGGCATTTGTCTTTCTTGTATTATGTCTCTTTTTAAAACACTCTGTGACATGGTGTCAACTTGTATTCAAGTCATATTTCATTTTGTTTCACTTCCTTTTTAGACCATTCTACGTCAAATTGCACATTACTCTCAATCAAAGTCTAAGATTTCTTTTTTAGCTCCAGTGAACAATAAATCCGAAGTAATAGTTTCTTGAACTGAGAATATCATCCAGAAAAACGAGTTCACCACCGATTCAAATTTGTCCAATTCTGGAAACTTCTCATGCTTTAGCCCAACCGTAGCTTCCTTGAAAATTTGCCTTTCTCTCACTTACAGGCACCAATAAGAATTTCAGATATTTTCAAAATCAAACGTCTTTCGAAGTTGAATAATACATTTATTAGCCAACATATAAAACGGTCAAGGTTTGTGAATGAGCGGGCTTCCAAAAGCGTTGTAGAAAAAAGTGAATTATTATTTTTTTCCTTCTGGAAAAGATTGTAAATTATCTAATTTTGTTTACATGTGTAACAATGCAGTTGCAAACTTTTGGAAAAGCACTGGTTGAGCAAAAGCCTAGGATTTGTTAACTTATAGTAGATTTCTCCAGAAATAGGAATTCGTTTTTCTGGTTATTTGCCCGTATTCTTCTTTTGTTGTCCTTTCTAGTCTTGCTGTCAACGTGAATCTGAAAGTAATGTAAGGAAGCAAGTTGAAAAAAGCTTGCTATGTGACGTCGAATAGCCGCTTTTTCTAAATTTTATCTCTTTCGTGCTTTCTGTTATGATGTCGTGATTCTTCATGTTGTCATTTTGCTGTGTCTTGGTTTCATTTTCTATTCTTTGAGACGGTTAGATGAAAAACTGTTTTTGTAAGTTATAATTTATATTGTAAGCCAAACTCTTCAAAAATTGGGTATTGGGTTGAAGCTCTTAATAACAATCAGGATTACTGGTAGCAAAGTTCAGACTAGTTCAGCCTTAGTTTTTTAATTTAGAGAGCACGTAGTAGTTGAAGACAAAAATTAAAGCTTCTTTAAAAGAGAAATCTTTCGTTTTAGCTTTTGCTTTTGCTTAAAAGGATCCCCTTAGTTTCCGTAGTCGAAGTATTTTGGTAGCACCGTAAACGGCTTCTAGAACTGAGATTTTTCTGGTCTATCAGTTCGGTGGGCTTTCAAGTTTATCCCACTCTGAGGATGTAAGTCGAGTTTCTATCTCCTTGGACATCTGTTCTTCATATAGTCCTCGTGTGGGTGTGGCATGAGGGTGGTTTAGTTTGGCAAAGCAAAATTATTTCATTTTAATATCTCTGCTGGTAGGGTTGTACAATATCCGTAGACCGTGAAAAAAAGTATTTTTAAACTGCATTATATAATCCACTTAAACTTCCGTTTTATGACTGAATGTAAGTATTAGCTTGCTTTTATTTTGCTGTGATAGTGTTTGCAGTTATTACGAGTATTTTTGGTTGATCTAGCGCTAAATGTGTCACGTAATAAATAGAGTTCCGTAACATTTTTGCAAAATGATCAGGACATCTTGAAAGTTGTTCACAGTCTGGGCTGTTCCGAGCGTTAAGAGAGTACTTTGTGCCGCTAGACACAGGTTTCATGCGGCATCTTTAAGAATTCACTTCAATTCTCGATAGTAAGATTTCAGTTGAGACTTGGACTTCTCTGATAGGAATCATTTCATTTTAAATGTTACAGTTACAGACTAAACGTGAAAGAAATTGATCGGTGAATGCAGAATTCATTGCGTCTTCCCTTCACAACGTGTTTCTTTTAGCTCGCCCCCTCACCAAAGACACCTAACTGCAGTGTGCTAAAGTATCTTTGAAAGTTTTAGGATCACTCTGGGACAATAAAAGCCTGGTAGGCACTAGACTATCAAAAGCGACTGATATTGTTTTTATTTTGGCAGTTGGATCTTCATTAACTGTTTTTGGTCAACAAACGCCAAGGATGACACTTCGATCGAATGGCATCCTTAGCAGAGAAAAAGTGAAAAGGTGAAAGATATAGGGCTATGTGGAAAAATGAGAAACCTGAAAAAAAGAACTGCCGTGAAGCAAGAAAAGTTTGAAAACAAGGAAAAGGCAGGAAAAGTGAAAGGACTTCAAAAGTAAACGATAAATAAACTTAAAAGCTGAAATTTGAAAAAAGAATTTCACAGGGATTGACCAGAAAGGGCGAGAAACTACGTTTCAAATACGTAAGTGGTTACCGACTCACTTATGCCAGTTTAAAAAAAATTTTAAAGTACATAAATAGTTTATTCAAATAACTTTATCATTCCCTAGAGTTTAATTACATCTTTGCTTGGTTATGCGCATTTCCAGTCTTTATAGAACTTGTGGAACTCGACAGCGATGTACTTTGCTAGTAAAAGAACAATCTTTGAGAAGTCGACGAAAATAACCGGTAATTAACGGCATTCAAGGAATTTACAGCAACGCGTGCCTCCTTAAAGCTTTTTTCGTACAGAAAAGTGAACAAAGCAACCTAGTTAAAAAACATATCCCTGAAAGATGCAACGGAGAAGGGACGAAGGAATCCTTGTATTGTTGTTTTATGGAAACTGCATGCTAAAAAAGTGACAGGAATGAGGAATTAGAGACATGCCATTTAAGTTGTTGAAAAAAAGCCGTTTCCCAGCGCATACACCGGAATCAGGGCTAGATGGATTTCCCATCTTGTGAATGACTATTAGATGTCCTTTAGAATGTGCTGTAGAATTCCACTGTTTAGAAAGTGGTCTGGTAATCGCAGAACAGGTACGACTGCCGAAAAAATAAGCGTGACAAACAGGTTACAGCAACTTCTTTGCATCACACTGTTAGAAGGTTGCAAAAAACTAAATGGACAGGTTTGGGATTATCAGGAATAGCTTGGGCGGTGTCGAAAACTTTGTGTACAAATAATGAAATAAGGTTGACGACCATCAAAAATATTTTTGAGGGATGCCAATCTGGAATAGCGCTTCTCAAAATTGGACTAAAACCTGAATTGCCAAGATCACAACTGTTATCAACGGCTACAAAACCTAGCACAAACGCTTCACTAAAATTTTCAGACTTAAGAACGGTCATCCAGAAAAGTTCTCCCGATTTCAAACCAAAATTTCCTCCATCCTTCTCTTTTAAAAATGCCATCTGAAGATTGTAAAGACTACTATAGCATTATCCAAAAATAATTCTTTTACAGCTTAAACTGAACATATATTCAATAGTTTCAGTGTTTTCAAAGCAAATTATTTTCCTGGTATTAGGGGACTGATTAGATAGGTGGGGAAAGATTTTGCTTTAAAATGATGCCAAGATAATCATATACAAATTGAATGTAATCACGAACACCACACGATCAAACAGTAGGCTTTGAGAATGAAGGTGAATTCAAATGAAACAGTGACCGCAGAGAGGAAGGAGTTTAAACTGCCGCGTATGCACTATATTATGCCTCCACGATTCGAAGGAATGAAACTGGCTGCAGTCAAAGAAATCACCAATGATAACTGGAAAGGCATGATGGCTTACACCGTTAATTTAATTATGTCTAGAACATAAAAGGATCTCAATATACGTAACGGTAACCACTTCAGAAACCCTAGGAAACAGCAGAAAAAAGATTCAACGAAGGAAAGTAACGAAAAATTACAAAGTAAGAGACTATAAGAAGGAAATTGCTTTTTAAAACAAAACTTTGCTCAAGCTATAATCTAGTTTCTCAACAAACTTAGTTTCCTAACCGAAAGCCTCACGTTTTTACAAGGCAGACGGCGGTTATATGACAAACGTAAGCATTAAAATCTTGAAAAAAACTTTTCATAAGAACAACGTCTACTAAAAGTCATCAATCAATTGGATCGGCGTAATACGTGATTAGTTTTGAAAAGTCAGGACTTTTAATATTCTCAACTTTCTGAGATTTTTGCAAAAGAAAAAGTATTCCAAAGCATATTCAGAGTAAACAACAAAACCAGCTTTCTTTACCAGAAGCAAGCAAACTACCTATAAAAGTTTGGAAAAAAACCTAAAATAAACTTAGAGAGAGAGATCAATGAAAAAGATGTTCTTGTAAAATACTAATGGTTTCTGCCTAAGATATCAGCAGCTGAACGTAAAATACGTCTCTTCGTGAAGCCTAATTCGTACTGTTTTTTCTCAAAACGACGCATTTCGGCTTCAATCTGTAATTCCGTTTCTAAGTCGCTTCTGTTTATACGATAATGTGCTATCAGGTCATACTTGTTCAAATCAGTCGCCTAAAACTTCAAAAACTTTAACTTTAAATTAATTAGAACTAGGTTTCTAATAAAGATGGAATCAATCGGATCGCTCGAAATCATCCCTCAGCCCAGGCCTTAAAAAGCATCCACAAGATTAATTTTGGCTATGTTAAGCAGTCTGTTACTGAGCAATGAATCTGTGGTTTCTTTACAAAATAACTCTGAGTCTACTAGAACCCATAAGAGCTCAAATTCGCCACTTGACCCAGGTAAGATTCTAATTTGCAAAAGTGTGAAAAATTCACCTTCGGATACAAGCATAACCAAACAGAGAAGTAGATAACGACACAGACGAAAAATAAGTAAACAAAACCTTTGTTTTATAAGACCTCCTTTTAAAATATGGAGTGGCCGACGCCCAAGCTTCATCAATACCCTGATAATCAAATAGTTCCCATCTCCTACACCACGGTGGTGGACGCATTTTAACCTACAAAAAAGGCAAAGTCCAACGATTTCCCTACAGAATTAAAATAAGGGTTGATGCCCTACTTATTTGTAACTCAGCTTAAAAAATAACTTTGAATCACGTTATTCCTCAATGTAGGAGATCGCAGTTACTTAACAGAAGAAGAATATGCAAACAGAAAAATACAAGTTACTGTCACATAATCGATGAAACATCTTCACTGTATTTAATTTTTTAAATTTCTTATAACTTCTTAAAACTGAGCTGTGATTGTGCTTGGTTTCCTAAAATAAGACTTATTGAACAAATAATATCAAAGCAATCATCCTTCAGTTAGGAAAAGTTCCTTTGCGGTTTTAGTGACAACCTCATTATAAATGATAAAAAACTTTAACTAAGTTATGATTGGCCAGTTTAAATATTAAAAA